TTCGAAGACTAGACTTTCCGGACAACAGTCATGTGTTTAGAGCCAGAGCTTGAGGTCCCAAGGTCCCCTCTCTCCATCGTCGACCAGGAGTAGCGCAGATAGTGCCGGAATCTGTGGCAGATTGCCTCCGCTGAGCTTGGAAGCCTGCTGAAACCCACTAATTGGAACAGAGAGACTCCCTTACGTCCCAGACGTAACTAAAGGCCCTAAATTTCCAAAGGCTCAATTGTGGCGACGCATGAAGCCAAACTGCGCTGACTGCTGGATGACTTGCAGCCTAGGTGCAATCCTTGCATTTGAAGCTGTTCCAGAGGAGGGCGGGCGGTTTGAGAAGCTTGATTGCAGAGCCAAAAAAGCCAGAAACAAGACTGGCAAGGCAACAAAGAGCATTTCCGAAAAAGGTTGCTGATCTTACCAGTTGGTGGACGAGCTGCGCCCACGCGGACTGAGGAAGTTGACGGAGGTGCCGCTATACTCGGCTTTTCCATTTCTTTACTCGGAAGCTTCTGGGAAAGCCGTCGTCGATGGCTTTGGTCAGAGTTCCTTCGCGGAGACGTTTGTGTCATGCATCAAATTGAACCATCATCTCAAACGAACCCAGCTTAGGCTTGGGCCCAGCAGAGGATGGTTTGGCATATTTTCCAACCATGGGGATGCCCGATGGGTCAGGATGCGCCAGAAGCTGGGTAATTATTGGTATTCAAACTGGGGTGAAGGTCATGTTTGATCCGGAGAGTGTTTGCGGGACCTTCACATGAGTTGACTAACTGTATTGGTGAATGAATGGGACACACTAGCAGCGCACACCGACGTGTCAAGCTCCCTGAAGCCTGCCAATTTCGACATAGTGAGGCATTGCGCAGCCTCTAGCTATCCAATACTTCAGAAATCGACAAACATATATATATATATATATGAATTAGAAAGAGCGCAAGCTGCTGAGCACTCTTTCTCCAGCAGCGAAGCCCTTACAGTTTAGCTCACACGGTGCTTTTTTGAAACGTGTTCAGAGCACCAATCGCTGAAACTTTGCTGCTTTTTCCCACCAATCGCAAGACTAAGCCTTGATGACGACGGCCTGATCTCAAAACCCTCACCCCTTTTGCTGCGAGTAACAAGAAGCTACTAGGGGCGCCTCCAGCTGAATGATTTGGCATGGCTTTTTGGTGGGCTCCCATTTTTTCTCACCCTCGAACAATGTGTTTTTCACCCTCACCCTCGAAACCTTTTTTTCACCCTCAAGATTTCTTTTTTCCCCACCCTATGGAACCTTTCTTTTCCACCCTTCCAAAACCTTCTATTTTCACCCTGCACCCTGTCATTTTCACCCTGTAGCATGTTTCTTTCACCCTTCACCTTGTTTTTTTAACCCTTCATCCTTTCTTTTTCACCCGCGACCCTTTCTTTTCAACCCTCCGCCGGTGAAGCAGGTAACCCCTGGAACCTGCACAGAAAACGATGTCACCTCCGGTTTGTTTCACACCGCTTGTCTGCACCTGCCAAACCCTTTGTTTTCACCTCAATAACTTCTTGTTACTAACCCTTCGAAACCCTCCGGAAACTGCGCAGAGACTGTCCGGAACGACGGGAAACGCCGGAAACTGACCCGGACGCCTCCGGAACGTGAGGCAGCACAGGATCCATCCATCCATGCATGCATGCATCCATCCATCAACGGAGTGCCAACCAACCGACCAACCAACCAAGCAACAACGTGGCCAAACCAACCAACCAAAGGAAGGAGAGTAAAAAAGAAAGGGTGGGTAGCCCACCAGCAACAAACAAACCAAGCAACCAAACGTTTTCCCCAAATGCTGTCGATACTTGCTTTGCATTGGTAGCCTGCCAAGCAACCAACAAACCCAGCGACCAAAACTACACACGACCTGTTTTCCTCAAAGGCTGTCGATATTTGGTTTGCATTACAACAAGCTAGCCAACCAACCAACACACCAAGCAAAGGAAGGAGGGTGAAAAAGAAAGGGTCGAGGGTCAAAATGAAAGGGTAGAAGGTGAAAAAAGAAGGTTCGAGGCTGAAAAAACATGTTCAGAGGGTGAAAAAGAAAGGTGGAGGGTGGACAAAATTGGCGGGGTGAAAAAGAAAGTTGCCCTTTTTTTGGGCCCCGACAACATCCGGAGCTTCCCTCCGTTGGTTCTCCCACACGTATATAATCTTTGGCACTACGCATCGCATAAGATCCCTTCCCACGAGCCAGATACAAAGGAAGTCGATTGCTTCAAACAACATCAAACCACACTGAGTGAAGGACATTCACGGAATATAGGACCGTTCTTGACCCTCTTCACCCTCCAGCTCTTGACCGTTTCTTCCTTCCAGCTCTTGACTCTTCCAGCTCTAAAAAACTGACACACACATATATATATATATATACTGTATAGCCCACTATATCCGAATCAGACTTGGCACTTCGAACTTCAACAAGCACTGGGAACATTTTTAACCCCCACCTTGCGCGAAGCAGAAATTTCAACTTCAGAACCTGAGATTTTTGCTGGCCCGGGTGCATCAACCTCCATTTGCATCTGGACATCGGCACCCCCATCATCCTTCTCACCAACGTTGTCCTCATTTTAATTGTTGCGCAATGTTGCTCGATTTCCTGGAGTTCCTCATCATGCGTTTGCTCCTCAAGACTCAAGCCTCTCCTGAACAAACGATGAAAACCAAAAGACATGCAGCGAATCCCTGGTTTCGGCCAAAATGCTTCAAGACAATTCGACCTTGTGTTTATGTTCAAGCTTCCGGGTCTTTGGTAGTTTCAGACGCGAGCAAATCGATGCGAAGGTCCGTGGCTTGTGGTTTATCTCGAAATCGGTTCCAACATGAAGACCTCCTTTAGCGTTGCTGTGAAGACCTCCCTCAGAGAGCACAGAGCGGATGACAAACAGATCGTTAGCGCTTTCCCCTTCCTTGGCCGCAAGAAAGCATTCACAGCCAACCAGCTGCGACAGCCACAAACATTTTTGATGTCCATGATGTGGTAATCGTTTCCTCAGCGTCCTGCCAGATGCTCGGGTACATGATGACTTGACTGCAACAGCCTGATTGCTTGGTCAACAGGGTTGCACTTCTCTTTCGTCTGGACGCGCTAGCAGCTCTCGAGTCGAACTGCTGCTTGCAGTCAATGCTTTTGAGTAAGCTCGAAGGGTGGTTTGCTGTCATTCCCATGACGCATCGACCAGTCTTCCGAAATTCCAAGCTTTTTGCCTCCGTCATGTTGGATGGGTTTAAGTTGCACTGTCATTGTTCCAACGCAACCAAATCCCGAATGCATTTCAAAACACGACCATGGGCTAAATACTTCTACACTGTAAACTGCAAGTTGATAAGTTCTCAACAGCTGGAAAATATCACTGTTATGATCTCTTATGCAATGTGTGGTAAACGGTAAACACAGCATTTGCGGAATCAAGAGCCTGCTCAAAATCTCAACAGTGCTGTTGGCACACATCACACTTTGGACAATGGGGCGGCCTGAGTAGCCTCAGCTGGGTCCTCAGCTGAACACAGTCAGTCCATAGCCAAAGCATATTCAAGTCGGGTACATGCATACGGACTGAAACAGTTGTGTTTGTTGGCAAGCAAGGCGGTCTAGTCAATTGTACGTTTTAACCTTATTTTAACTGATAAGACTTCAAATAGACCCATCCACGCCACACAGGCCAAAGGTAAGCTTGATCCTCCATCGCTTTGAGACATTGCCATGGCCACAGAAGACTTTTGTCACATCAGGCATGTTGCTGAAATCCCGCTCAAGCCGGCCTGAACAGAGAGACCCAGTGCAAATCACAAGCCGAGAGATTCGAGAAAGTATCCAACACCAAACACCCCACACAGATGTGCTTGAGAATCTCATGGTTTTCCAGACCTCGTACCGTTCTTCGTTTGAAGTGAAGGACATGTTCTCACACAATCAGAAGAGGTTCATGGGTACCGGGTAGAGGAGGGATGACTGATCGGATTTCATGTGCAACAGTGGCCAGATTTGCTGCAGTTTGGGCCATCACAGGCCCAGAAGTGTTTTGAAGTAAACCGGTTGCAAGCTGCTTTGCATTCGATAAGTTTCACAGGTGCTTTCGCTGCAAAAGGATAGCAGATTGCATTCATGTACGCATGTTTGCCATTCCTGTTTCGTGTTTGTGTTGATTCGATTGAAACATCATTATATTTAGCTTCATATTGGTGATTATTACATTATTAACTATTACTATATAATCTTATATCGATATCTATAGTCTATATAATAGTATCCATGCATTTTGATTTGGGTGTACCCTCATATCCCCGCTCGGTGTGCCCAATGCATAACAATTGCCGTTCTTCTCATCAGAACCGCCAAGGATTCAGATTCCTTGTTGGGGGGGTTTCTTCTCCCCTGGTGCCCGCAACACCGATTTGCTGTGAAGCTGCCTTTGAGTACAGCATTGTGAACACTCCTCCGCCCCGCGGCATTGTGATGCGGGTTTGGATTGGCTTGGAAACTTGAAATCAATGCTGTGCAAGTGTGCATGGCGCATTTCATCATAGATCAATGGCTTCCAGCTTTTCTTTTGAGTTATTAATAGCAATGGCCTCCAACCTACTACCGATGGCCTTACCAAACCAAGAGTTTGCTTCCAAGTGTCCTTGTGTCGTGTATTCTTGAAGGTCCTCCTGGCCTTTAAAGATGGAACTGCAAGATTTTGGAGGCGCAATCACTGTGGAGTTGAGTCCCAGGCCAGGGTGCAACGTGCTGAGATGCGTGGAATGATTTTTTGGCCAAGAGAAGGATTGGTGGCTAAGTTGTCATTAGGCATACGACCTGTACTCGCTCTGTCGCAGACCATGTGTGAAGTCTGACTCGTTTTTGCTTTTGTGGGCCTTTCTTGCAATCGTTTTGCTCAGGCACGAGTTGCCACAATTCACTGAGTATCTTGGCGGACTCTTGGTGAGACTCGTAGTCTCTGGCGAGGGCGGGCAAGACATCACGGACAGAGACATGGCCTTTGAGCTGTCCCAGCGGCTGCTTAGTGATTCAGTTTGTGTTTTCCTGAACCGCGTGGAGCAGCTTGGGAGGTGCAGCAATTTGGAGGTGGCTTTGAGTCAGACTAGTTGAACCATCAAAAAAGAGTTGAAGTCGTAGTTGTTGTTTGATGTTTGCTTTTTTGGGGGGTTGGGGGCACGTATAGCTAGAAACCTTGCTTCCTTGATGAGTCGATGTGCGCAAGTGAGGTGGTGCAAACACATCCTTTTCCCGTGCTTCGCTTCTCCTTTTTGAGAGTGACGTGGATGCGTGCAATGTCACTGCCTGGCAAGATGAAGCTGCGTGTTAGCGATTTGTCCGGGTCAGGCTTCTCTGCTGGGGAGGCTTGGTTCTAAGCAACAAATGTCAAGAGATTACTGTAAAAGGTAAAGTTGGGGTTCTTGGAGTGTTAGGATGCTCATTTGCCTTGCAAGGCACTACCTGCTGGTTTTGCCGATATGAACTCCGTTCAGAAGTTCGCCATTTGTGCAGCAGCAGCCTCCGCCAGCAAGGAGCTCTTGGAGCAGTCTATGACATCGGAGATTGTGGCAGAGACAACGGCTTCACAATACATGGTGGTGCTGCCGCCGCCGGAGACAGTCACCGTTGGTTCGATGTTTTTGGTCCGTTTGAAAGTCACTACAGCCAGTGGCGGTCCAGTCAGGGATGTGCGGGTTCGAGTGGGCATCAAGTCCCTTACAACCACGGCACCCGGCAGGACATCACCAGGACTGCTGCAATCCTTGGCAGTGCAGGGGAATTCACTTGGTGTTGTGTCCACTGGGAACATCAAACTAGATCCCTTGACGACGGTAAGAAGCAGTGATGGTTCTGGCATCATTGGGTTCCCTTTGACAGTGCTTAAAGCTGGCAGCGGCACATATCAACTACAATTTCAGCCTGATGTTCCAGACGGCAAGATTGTTTTGACAACAAGTGCATTCAAAGTCGAGAATCCCATCACTGCCATCTCTTCCAGCTCACGCATTTCAGAGATGAAGATCCCAAAATTTGGGACGTCGGTGCCTGTACCAGTGGCTCCACAGTTCTGCATCGAGACGGCTACCAACGAGTCCCTGCAGCAGATGGACAAGGACGGCATTAGGATCTCTATTGTTTTGCGCCTCAAAGCAGCTCCAGAGGAAAGGGAATCGGCGGCAATGAGTCTTGTCGCGCAGGCCAAGAGGGATGCAAATGAACAGGCTCAGAGAATTGCAAATGACATGGCGACACGCCTTGCACAGACCCCCAATACGGCGATGAGAAGGGCTGTCGACACAATGGTTGCCAGAGCTAATAGCAAAGCCAAGGGAATGTTTGCTGGCATGTCGGAAGAGTTTGCGGAAGCCTGCTTCGCCACACCGGCAAAGCTGCTTCAAACAGGGGACCCCGCCGTCATGGTGAATTTTGGAAATGCAACAGCAGCTCGGAAGATGTGTTTTTTATGCGAGCGCGCTAGAAAATCCAGTTGTCATTGGTCAAAGGAAGCTGTAGTTTAATTTGTTGGAGAAGCACGTAGTGAGCAGAAGCAGTGCAGCACAGGCCGAATAGGACAGGTGCATTGGGAAAGCAAGTGCGAATGATAGCCTACAACTACTCTACAGGCGACAGCTGTTGCTTAGGCACTTTTGTTTCCCATGTATTCGCCAATCTCTCAATCAGAGCTTTGACTTGGCTATCTTGGCTAAGGTGGATTTTGTGGGCGAACAAGCACCCAGCTTGGCAGAAGCTCTGGGAATGGATCCAACTGCCTTGGACCCCACACAATCACTCAACCAGTTCACTGAAGTTTTGATGTGACCAAGCTGAACTGTTAGACATCTCCGCTGTTCATGATGTTCATGTTTTTCCGGTTCACGCAATTATGACGCAAGTTTCTTGACAATCCTATTTTATCCTTGTCGCTTCTCCACAGAGGTTGCCAGTTAGCCTCGTATCCATGATTGCTGCGTCGGTCAGGGAAATTCGGGAATTTGGTGTAAACACCAGAGAGGTAAACATGTGGCACTCAATCCGGCCAGACAAAACTTGTAATAAAATAACACTAGGGCGTGTTGTGATGTGAGCGGTCAATTTCATAGCAAGGTTTCATACGATTTCGTTGCTTTTGCACGTTCTTGGAATTGGCTTGCAATGAAACTGCAAGGACTGTTGACTGTTGCAAATTCCATTTGTTTCGGGAGGAGCAGGGTTTTTGCATGAATGAGTGTCGTGCTTATTTCTGTAGGTTGCGTGACATGGATGTGTCAACTGTTGTGCCCCTCATGCAGCCTTAGGTCCTGACTTACCTCCCATGTTTTGTCACGCTTTTCCAACATTGTGCAACCAATGCACAAGGAACACCCAGCGTCGTGCGCACAATCAGGGCCTTGCGAAACTCCAAGTGTGTATCCGGGTAAAGGTTGAGGCCGAGATATGCCGAGATCATATATGGAAATTCTCTTGCGAAAACCATGCATTTGCTCGACATGCATGTGCGAGTGTCAAGACGACATGCAAAATACATGGCAAGTGTGGAGTTTGTTGCACTTCCGATAAGCCACGTAATGTGGCTGGTAGGGCGGCGGGGTTGCGGGGGGGCTGGGATATTAATAGCTGCGTGGCAATATCCTGTCCATACGTAGTTCGCTTGAAATTCACTCCCTGGTGTGCTCACATGCATGGACGGTAGGATGGACATATGCACTGGTGTTCGTGATTGTTTTGTTCTTGCGGCTTCTTGGAACTTGAAGTTTGGGGCTCTGAGCAAACCTTTTTTTTACGCTGAGCCCTTGGACTTTAGATAACTATTACTTGGATTTATGGTTTGTGTATGCCAGTGTATGCAGTGTGGCGGCTTGATCGAACAATTCGTTTTGCAGACGGTGTTGATCACGGGCCGTTCTTGATGTGATTGGTCGGTGGTGGTCTTATGATGCATCGTGGCTTTACAGCCAAGAAAGGTTCATCCATTTTCATCCCCACTCGCGTGCGGGAATGCCGCAAAAGCCGAAAGAAAAGGCCCTGCTATCATAATTCCATTCGGGGCGCCACGTTGTTAGGTAGTCAGGTAGTTTTTAACGCCTGCCGACCATTGTTTGAAGATGTTTGAGGCTGGTTCCACTGGGTTCCAGTGGTTTCAATATGTTTCAATGATTCAAGTGCTACAGGTCTGCCGGGGCAGCTCTCACACCAGCACGTGAAATGGCTGTAGAGGGCAGTTGGGAGCTGACTTTGAATGACTTGGACTTCAAAGGAGGTTGCACCTATGAACCTAATCAAAGCTTGGTGTTTCCTTTCAAGGAGGGCATGGATTACAGCTTTTCTCTCTCTGTCAATGGAGTGGAGGGCCCTTCGGAGCCTTTCAAAGTGCTATTGATCCCAGCGGATCCAGTTGATTTGGCATTTAATTGGTTTTTATCTGCTGTGGCCGCCATTGTGGGAGTGGTTCTTCTAACTACCAATGTGACGCTTCATCACTGGGCTTGGTTTGTTATCGCAATGCTTTGCACTTTGGGCATGTGCATCGGATTGCCCTGGATGACTTTGCACAAGGACCAGAGCCCAACCTTTGTGCTTTAATTGTGGCCGTACTTTGAGAGATTGCTTCACTAACACCACGGCACTCACCCGGGAACTGGTATTGAAGGTCGTAGAAGCGCATGTTCAAACTCTTTGATCGCAGTTTTTGCTTAAGGTGAAATTGGAATTACATAATTGGGAACCCTGTGGAAACATGTAGCAATATGAACTTTTGGCATGAAACTGACGCAAAAGCATTGTTGAATGAAGTAAGATACAAGATGAGCAGCGGTTACCAGAAATAGATGGAAATAGTGCGCCAATCAAGGTGAATTTATGTAGTTGCCCTGCGCTGAGCCAGGGCACCCAAAAAAGCTCTCAAACCGGACCATACTATTTATTTTTCTGAGTTGTTGTTTTTTGGGGGTGTTTTAAAGTTTTACTAGTCGGTACGTACCCGTGCGAGCATCAGACAGTCGTGGAAGGTTGCTAAAACCTGTTTGTTGTGAAACGATGTGCCAAGGTATCGGCTTCCAACCCGTTTGGTTGTCCTCATTCACTATTATACAAAGTCAATGTCGATCTTATATAACATATAACACTATGTTTGAAAAAGGGCCACTGACTTCACTGGCAGGCTCACAGCTCGCTATTTGGTACAAGATGTGTTTTTGCTGCACGGGGCCTATACATATTACATCGTTAATTCCAATCTTCGTGACATTTTGTGACACAAGTCATATCATCAACACTAAGCTTATGTACCGGTTTGTACTCGTGAACGTTTTGCATATGCTTGCGTCAAAGCCATGTTCTTGGGTGGCCGTAGGATTAACATTTCCATTGAACTGTACCAATCACCCTGCCCACCCTATCCATTCACAACCAGCGTTGAGCTGGGTCAGTCACGGAGTGCCCAGCTCCCCTGCGAGAATCTGTACATAGTGGAAGTAGTGAGGAGTAGTGTCCCTGGAGACGGGAGTTGACACACACTCACGCACACATAGACTGAGTTTCATTCAGTAAGCGAATCCATGAGGAAATGAATGTGAGAACTGCAAGGCGATTGAGTCAGTCCACTTGTACATGTTTGAACACTGGTTGGAACGCACGACAACGTCAGCGGCTCAGCGGCGTCAAGGCTGCAGAAAATGGTGTGGAAAGGGTTTTTGGGATGATCATGAAAGGACCATGGAATCAAAACACGGCGATTAAAGTAGGGTGGCATCACAGCGCAGGTACGTCACAGGACGTCTCCAGTGATATCCTCAGGACACTGCAGAGAGCTTTGTTAAGTGGAGCTCTGCAGGCCTGCTCCACTCCCCTGCTTGAAATTTGGTTGTCAAATTTTCTAGACACAGGGTTCGACACACACACAAGCAGCCGCTTTGCGGCGCGCAGACACAGTGATTACTTAGCACTGGACTTGAACACTTAGCCCTTGACTAAAAAACCCGTTGCAACCTAAAAGCCTCTAGCGAAAAGGCAAACCTAGAAAGAGAAACAAACAGCAAGAGGTAAAGAAAGAAACGACGTCGAGGGGAGGGAAACGAGCCTCAAGAGCAACCTAACAAGCCTGAAGAAATACCTATATATCAAGAAGAAACCGCAAGAAGGAAAGTGGGGAGGGTTGGTTGGGGGCGAAACGAAATCTCCGTTGGCTGAGAAGTTGATGGCATGTGAAAACGCTGAAACACTAAAAGCCCGAAAAGTCTGACTGGATGCAATCTGAAGAAGTTGTCCGTGGGTCCGGCGGCATTGATATCGTTGATTCAGTGACAAGTAAAAGTACAAGTCAGGACGATACTCCACGCTGCAAAGCTGCGGAGCGGTTAGTCATTCCACATGGTCTCGGCGCCCTCTTGCGGGGGATCACGCTACGCACCCAATTGGGAAAGCGTAGCAGAACACTCATTGAGTTTCATACAGTAAGAGAATCCACGAGGAAATGAATGTGAGAACTGCAAGGCGATTGAGTCAGTCCACTTGTACATGTTTGAACGCTGGTTTTAAAGCACGACAACGTCAGCGGCTCAGCAGCGTCAAGGCTGCAGAAAACGGTGTGGAAAGGGTTTTGGGGATGATCATGAAAGGACCATGGAATCAAAACACGGCGATTAAAGTAGGGTGGTATCACAGCGCAGGTACGTCACTGGACGTCCCGAGTGGTATCCTCGGGACACTGCAGAGCCCTTTGTTAAGTGGAGCTCTGCAGGCCTGCTCCACTCCCCTGCTTGAAATTTGGTTGTAAAATTTTCTAGACACAGGGTTCGACACACACACACACACACACACACACGCAAACTGCTGAGTCGGCGCTTCTAGGCTTCTAGGTAAAGGTGTGTTGGAAACAATACGGAGACTGGTGGCGGATGCGTGCTCTTTTGGTCGCTGCGCTGCGATGCACAGTCGTTCCAGGTAGTGCCTGCATGCTCTCTCAGTGATGGAGGAAGTAGGGTAGCCTCGCGGATGGAGTGCGCCCGCGACTGCAGTCCAGCAACGTTGACTGCCGTCTGAGTAGCAATCTTTGATCTGCCACGGATGGTTTGGGAGTTGAAAAGTGAGTGCGCGATTGGTGGGACCGATGTGGAATCCCAAGGGTGATCGTCTTCCACCGGCTCTATCCGGACGGGATGTCCGTAGAAGTTGGGGTGTGAGAGTGTGAGAAGGGGAAGTGTGTCTTGAAATTGCACGTTGTATAGAACGCATCGGTTGTTGACATAGCGGGTGTTGAAAAGGTGCAGGGAGGGCTGGTGAAGGAAGGTTTGATAGGTGTCCTGCCAGGTGTGCTCAATCAATGTAATGGCGACGTTGAAAAGTGCTGGGGAGAGTTGACTGCCGATGCCTGCTCCTTGAATTTGTTGAAAGTAGGTGGTGCATGACTGAAAGAGACAGGTGTGAAGAGTTTGTTCGACAATGAGGGAATATGGGTGGTGTCGGGTGTTCGTTGTTGAGGGTGGTATTTGTGATGTCGTCCGATGTGTGATTGTTGAATGGGATTGCCAGTAGTGAATGTCGATGGTAAGTGTGGAAGCGTCGTGTTGGAGTTGCCATTGGGTGCAGCATGTAAGATACAAGATCAGCAGCGGCTACCGGAAATAGACGGAAATACTTGCCCTGGGCTGAGCCAGGGCACCCAAAAATCTCTCAAAACATTTGAGTTGTTGTCTTTGGGTGTGTTTTAAAGTTTTACTAGTTTTTCTTTTGCAGCTTTCATGGACATCGTCACGGTAGTCAATCTCGATCTATGATTGAAAAAGGGCCACTGACTTCACTGGCAGGCTCACAGCTCGTTATTTGGTACAAAATGTGTTTTTGCTGTACGAGGCCTATAAATTGTTAATTCCAATCTTCCTGACATTTTGTGACACAAGTCATATCCTCAACATTAAGCTTATGTATATGCTTGCATCAATGCCATGTTCTTGGGTGGCCGTAGGGTTAACATTTCGATTGAACTGTACCAATCACCCTGCCCACCCTATCCATTCACAACCAGTCGAGGGCAGGCAAGGAATCAAGGAATTGACGTGTTGAACAACTGACAGAGGTGTACTGACTGAATGTAAGACCGTGGAAGAGTTGCCCACGCCAAATGACCTGAAAAGTCAAACTTGTTTGCAGGAAAGAAGCGCACACAGACACACACACACACATTTATATAGTTATATGAATGTGGGTCAAAACACGGGGGACATTGACCAGCGAAAATGAACAGAATAGAACCTACCAGGGAGATCAACCTGTTTGGACCAGGTTTTGACCCACAGCCATATATATATATATATTACAGTATATATGTTATATCCATCTAGCCGTTCCACTCACGACTAATGCACAACTGACAATGAGCAAGTTGGCACACATCATTAACACGGCGCTGGGATACGTTGGGAGCTTCTTGACTTTGCACATGTGTGGGTTCGCCGGGGGGGAGCTGCCAAGTGTGAAACTCTGTTTGAGACCCAAATGCGGGAGGATGCTATGTACGGGTCATGGCTCTACATAGCAATCGCAAACTTTGCCCTGATCGCTGTTGCATTGGTTTGGGGCTTGACCGCCCAGCTGAGCCCAAAGATCAAGACGTTTGAAGACAAGCGTGCTGACATTTTTGAAGAGTACACTCATCGACAGTTCAAAACGCTTATTGGCTTTAATGAAGGCAAGCGAGATCCACGAAGGTCGGCCCTCAGAGATACATTCTTGAAGCCCTTCAACTCACAGGATGCGTTCTTCTTCCCGTCAGCGTTCTTGATTGCCAGCTTCTTGTCGTTTTTGAGCTTCATCTATGTGCTGATGCAGTCCATCCAAGTTCTGAACAACACCGAAAAGCTCTTGCAACAGATCCTGAACACGGCCGTGGATCGATCCGTGCTTTTTGTCAGCAGCATCAACAACGCCTATTTCCAAGCTTTAGGAGCTGATTTGCCCGACAGCCACTTGGACTTGCAACTCTCCCACTACACCTCACGACGTCTCGACAAGGTTGCAGCCACTATATCATTATGTAGAGTGATTTGCTATGTGATTTTCTTGTGCCATGTGAAATTGCTCGCCCTGAATCTAGAGGAGGCAATAGTACGGTTTGCGTGCGCTACACAAAATGCTGCACTCTACTTCAAGATGTAACACGCTCATCATGCATACCTCCATGAGCAAGCATGTTGAGAAGAACCACTTCACACCGAAGGCCGTCAGAGGCTCTGAAAAAGGGGCGAGCCTTTTAGATGGTAGCGGAGCAGTGAAGGGGATTCAGGAAGTCTCCATCAGAAGCAGGTCGGTGAGTATGAGCTGGAACTTTCTTGGACGAGAACCACAAGATAGCTGGTTCATGCGCTGTTGCCCTGTTCAGCTGAAGCAGCATCTTGAACTGAATGTGAAGCCAAGTACAAAGCATGCCCAAGTGAAGGAATCCATGGTGGCCTGTGAGTAATCTACAGCTGCCTGGTCAGGTTGTTTTCATGGAGGTGGACAGAGTCAAAGGTGACCACAAAGGAAAAGGCAAAGGCAAGGGCAAAGGCAAGAAAGGATCATTCAAAGGCAAGGGCAGGGACGAAGGCAAGCAAAGGGCAGGAGCAAGTCAAAACGGGCTTGCCATGCCAGCCACAGAGCTTCAGTTTGCTAGCAGCGCTCTCAGCAGGTACAACAAGTTGACGGCAACGATCATGGAGGTGGAGAGTGGGAGGAGCAAGTGACAGCCTGAAGGGCAATCACTCGGACCCAGTGCAACCTCCCACAAGAGTGGAACAGTGAGGAGAATCTGTGAGATCGAAGCCCCGCCTTTTCTGGAAATCTGTGAGACAAGGGGAGGTGGACACCGAAGAGACCTTTGAGGAGCACTTCGAGATGATGGTCATGGCAGTGCTAACTGTGACCTCGCCATGACAGACCAGGACATCCAGGTGATCACAGAAATGGAGCTGGGCTACAACGCGCGCAGGGTATTTGGAGCTGTGTTATTTAGGGTGATTAGCATGGAGATGGGCGCTTTGGGCATGAGAGCTCAAGAGCTTATGGAGAAAGACTTCTTCGAGACGCCGAGATGCACAAGGCCGGATGAACCCTGTGAAGAGCAAGGTCTCAACGACCATGAACTGCTTGGTGGCCAACGGGCAGCTGGCCAAGCTGAAGGAGATCTTTGTGGTGCCCGATGTGAAGCAACCAAAGAAAGGATTGATAATTCAGAACTGCAACGGCCAGTTTTACCAGAGGGCTTTTCCGTACCTCTGGAGTCTTGGAGTGGCAACGCAACACTGGTGCTGAACTTCGCATTGGAGAAGGAGAAAGTGAGCTTTGTGATGAAGGAGCTCAAGCAGATGTTTGAAAGGCGAGGATGGTATGAGATGAGTGATGGGACGCCCTGATTCCAACACCTGTCAGGACGGTTTGACCCCTCAGAGTATCCTTGCAGGAGAATGGAGCGCGGAGAGCGCCCCGCTTTGCTTGTTTGAGGAGAAGGTGAACTTCTCATGAACCAGAACCTCCATCATGGAAATGTAGCTCAAGAGCAATACCAAAGGACAATGTTCAATGTCGTTTCAAAACCTCCTAACTCCGACACAGAAACACGTGGCAGTGCCCAAGATGGAACGTTTTGGAATGAACCTGATGGAGGAGACGAAGCAAATCCATTCCTGAAGAACTTGCGCATGATGATCAGGGACGAACTGAATAGCATGAGAACCTGGCTGAGACCGCATATGCGTCGGGAGATGAGAGCGCGGAAGAACTCACTGAAGCAGAAGAGGACGTGTGGATAGAAGAGGGCCCAGAGACGCAGAAGATACAATGCCTGGAGAAAAGTACCTGGACGGACCACTGGGAAAGTGAAAGTAAAAATCATGAGCCGGACAGAGCACAAGGCGATGGGCTTGGAGGTGATGACTCAGGAGAAGTTCACAAGTTCAACAATTTGGAGAGTTGGAGTTGGAGCCAGGGATGCTGGGGCAATCGTGACAGCTACAGAAGCAGGGTTCCCAGGAGTCGTGTTTTGGTTGAATGCAAAGGCATTTTGTACTTGGGAAGGCGAAGAATGACTTAATCTTGAACCCAGACCCAAGATGGAGAATGGTGGCACGTGGCTACTTCGAAAAGTTCAAGGAGAACCTGGCCCCAAGGATGGCTCCAGAGAATTAACCAGGGGTGAAAGAGCCGTGACTGGGTGGAGCGTGTGAGACAAACGCAGGCCATGAGCAGGCCGGCGTAAGCAATCAATGCAAGAGGCTATCACTGCAAGTGAGCTACCTCACCGTGCTGCAATGAGTGTGGAAGCTGGCTGTGACTAGCAACGTCAAAACCAACGGAGGAGTGTCGCACTTGAACACCAAGATGTAACACACTCATCATGCACACCTCCATGCACAAACGTGAACAACTTCACACCGAAGGCCGTCAGAGGCTCTGAAAAGGGACGCCTTGTAGAACATAGAGACATCTTATTTTAACTATATAGACTACTAAAATATTGGTGCGCGCATTACTTGTTGAATCCAACAAGAACGATGTGTTGTCCAGCACACTGAGGTTCTTCCGACTTCATGTACGTTCAGATCCAGGTCATGAAGGATTGGTTCCAGAAGCTGATCACTTCCATCGTCATAGGCTTCACGACTGGCAACTAGACAGTTAATAGCCGAAGAATTAGCGCATTGCCCGACAGGTCTTGTGGCCGACTCAGCCCTAGAGTGGGCAAGCGGCAGCGTGAAAAAAAACACACACATGTCACATGACACAATCTTCACCTATCAGATCTCAGATACCATCCAAAACTTTTAACAAACCCACTGTCACACGTGCAATACGTCCATTAATTCATGTTTGGCTGTATGCTGTACACTCATTGCAGGGAACCGTGCTAGCTGGTCAGGGGTGTCGACACAATGGTTCATGTGACTGCCCTGTGAGATGGCTGCGCGTGAAAAACAATAGTGCTTGCCCACGTGAGGGTTTTGGAAAGGAGCCGGGGAAGTCAAGTTGCTTTCAGCCACGATTCACAAATGCGGTGCGAGGCATTGTTGTGGCTGCTATTCTGACGGTGGCAGGGCTTTTGGGTGGGTTTGTGCACTTCCGGCAATCTGTAATGGACGCGAGACGTGGAAAGTTCAACTTCAAAAAGTCAGATGCCAAACTAGTTCCCTGGACTTGTATTTGTTCCAAATTCCAAAGTGTTCAACCTGCAAGTTGGAAGTAAAAGAGAAGAGCTCAGATATCTATTTGTAAATGGAAGCGGGATCGACATGTTCAACTCCCAGGTTTTTGCCACCGCCTTCATCGGCATCAACATTTCTTCATCCATCGTCTCATTTATTCTGATTGTGGGTTTGGTGACATTGGTGACGTTGCCTTTCACCTTCGAACTTACTTGGCGCGTGATTTGGTCATATGCGGGGACGATTCTATTGACCTTCGTTTTGCCGGCAGTCATCAAATTTCTTAGCACCAAGATCTTGAAGGGCTGCATCTTTGGACCCACCTTCATCAAGACGCGCGCAGGCGACTCGCCAGCAGTCATTGCCTGAAACAATGGGTTGTATGGGTGTTCATCCTGCAGATTGGTGAAAAGTTCATGGATTTCCAAGGAGCCTCAATCTTTCACTTCTACACAACCTTCCTTGCTCTCCCAGGAGGCTTGCGAACTTGTCCGAAGCTCTCCTTTTGATATTGAGACCCCAAATCGCCGGCAGGTGTAGTCACTGCCATCGTCAGATTTGTCATGGGATTCTCGGCTTTTTCAGTGTGAAACTCTGCTCAGACTTGGGACTGGTCAAGAACTATAGCCCCGTTGAAACTTCAGGGGCGTTCGAAAACAGAAATTGCCAAAATCATTGACCCAAGCATCCTTCACAAGCATGTCCTATCACGCATCGATGGGATTGACCAAAGGCTTGCTGAGCGTCCTGGTGATGCTGCCTATCACCTATGGGGCCAACACGCCAAATATGGTCAACAGTGTCATGCTTCTGGATTCGTTACTCGCCTCAGATTTTTTCCAAAAAGTCGGGCCTACTTGATACTAGAGATGTTTTCCAGACAACGTGGGTTGCTTGCAAGAAAGTTTGAAGATGGGAACGGAACAGCTTGCCGAAAGGATAGTACAGTTGATTTTACTTTTCTTTCAAAGTCAGAGTTTGTCATAAACAGACGAGTTGGGCAAGTGTCAGGCCAGTAGAAAAGCGAGTGAAAGATGCATGGAGACACGAGGCTTTGGTCGCTAGGATGTGCTAAGGTCCTACAAGACCTATATCGCCTACGTGATGCAGCTCGCCATCATTATAATTGCATCAATCCTGAAGCATCATCGCAGACAAGACAAAGAGAGCGGCCACAGTCGCCGAGGGTTGATTAACTTAACTTAGGCTCTATGCAACCCACAACAACCCGATCATGATTACAGCCGCTCGCCGGCTTCTTGCGATCAAAGAAGCACGTGAGAAGCACCGGGAGGACATTTCAACCACGGTACTGACGGTACTGGCTTGGGTAATGATATGATATACTGCATAATGTGTGAACATAGAGAACTGTGACTTGATGGCAGTCTTTAAATGGGACAAACTGGATTCCAGTTGTGGTAGGAGAAGAAGCACTGGACATCCAGCCGCAGCTTGTTGATTCTAATCTTGATCCGAAACTTGGCCCGCATACACTGGAATGTACTGGACATATGTCAGCTTACAAAGTTTTGGACACGCTTCTTGTACAGGACTCTTGGATAGTTTGGTAAGTAAAGCCCCCCACATGCTGTGCTCAATAGATGCAATGCAGTGTGGAGAGCCCAGTGTGACGCTACCGCCAGTGGCCAACCGGTTTTTGGCCGACATGTGCGGAACTTCGTGCATGTAACAAGTGCCACGCTAGTAGGAACAAGTGCCACGCTAGTAGTAACAGGTGCCTTACTAGTAGCAACAAGAACGCTAGTAGGAACATGGTGCAGCTTTTGAGACGCCTTGAACTTTTGAGCTCAGGATTTCCCCACCTACGTCAGTGTCTTTGCTGAGCTTACCTAGCAGCTAGCAGGTTTTAAAACGCAGAGTGAGGCATCACTGGAATCAGTTGTCCTCATCAAGATGGGTGCTCGTTTCGCACGGGCTGCTTTGGTGGCCCCTGTTTTCAATTGGACTCTCCGCATCTCACATCAAAGGTACCGGAAGCATGTGCTGGAGGAGGTTGCGGAGCAGTCTACAAATTGTCTATGCAATGGCCTCCAACCTAATAGTAATGGCCTCCACCCTAGTAGCGATGGCCTCCATCCTTACAAAAGACACTGCCAATTTATTGATGAGTTGTACAGTGCACTTTAGTAAAAAGGGCTTGCTTTGTTTGTCGCATGTTTTGCACTGTGGCATTTGTTGTCATCAAACTGCAGTCCTAACAAGGAGTTCGAACTACGGGCTGGGTCCAGTGTCCAAATGGAATTCTTGCATTTCCTGTTGTTTTACCTTTTTTGTTTATATATATATATTTATTTATTATATATAGTGGCCTCGGGACACCTCAACCTTCACCAGATTCAAGGAATTACCAGCGTAATTAGTGAGTCAGAGGAGCGCAAGCTTCAGAAGATCCTCAAAGACAAGAAGTATGCCAAGAGTATGAAAGATAAGAAAGGGGAAGAATCTGAGAACGTATTCATCAAGGTGCAGGACCGCGCGTTTACAGATTACTGAGCCGCGCAAACTACAACATGCAAGTGGCCCTAAAGAAGGGCGCTCATTGATAACAGACGTTACATGTGGTTACTGTGAAGGTGTTCCATGCATTTCAGACTGTTTCAGACTGGTTTGCCACTGAGCAAGAGCCAGGGTGGTATTTCAATGCCTGAATCCTAAAGAGTGTGAATGAATGACTGCGTGGTATCAAAATTCGACACGGCAAGTCAAGCTCTCACGCAGGAGGGAAGTGCAAAGGTTGAAGAACCCTGGATTGCAAGCACCTAAGTTCGTTTGTTGGCTTCAGTGGTGCGATAATCCTATTTCCAGCAACCTTCAGGCCAATGCCTACGAGGACGCTCTTCAGGATGGTATCAAGATCCAGCGGAAGATTGAGCTGCTTGGCACTGACTTGCAAACTAACTATCGTTGCCGGAACATGCCGGAACGAGTTGAGAGAGTTCGCCACGAGACTGAGCTGTGATAGCAAATGAGTAGTCGCACTGGATGGAGAAAGAGAGAGTGAGAGTAGGAGGGATGATTGCACGGAGGGAGGCAGTGAGAGTATACATGTGCAACAGAGCAGATCCACCTCTCTCACTGCCTCGATCATATCAATCATTAGATCTCGACTATCTGAACAATTTGCTGAGTGGCAAGATTTGGGCATGGGCTGATGCAATTTCCTCAGGTTGATGAAGAAGTACCGCACTATGCTATCCGCAACCTGGCTGTGCTGCCCAGCCGTGGACGGTTTTTAGACTCAGAATGTGTGTCTTCGTATGTTTTATTGACGTAGTACTACTATAAATATATGTAAATATAAGTCGTGACCTTTCCAGGATGTCAGCAAAAGCATGCAAAAGCTAAGGGGTTGCAAGAGGACACCCCGGAGTACAAAGAAATGAAGGACAAGCTTCGAGAGCTATCCCTGCCTTTGCGACGGGACAGTCCAGTGCTTGGTGTGTAGAGATTACACACTCCGAAGATCAGTGCCAAGCTTAGCTTAGAAGCGGCACAGGCCAAAAACACATTGTGCGTTTGGAATGTGGGGTGACCTCCAAAGTGGAGCCCTGCACTGAATAAACATGAGAATGCACATGGTGCATCCCGAGAGTCCCTTGAGGGGTCAACGTTCATCTTTTTCAAATCTACCAAGTGGATTTGCTAATTCGTACATGTTTCATAATTAACATTCCTGTTGTAAACAGAGTTTCACCAGCAACAAGAAAGCTGGACATGCTGCATGGCTCAAAAAATGACAAGCATGGCCCCCATGTGCTTTTGGAGCTAGCTGGGCAAACTAAGCTCCAAAGCAAACATGAAACAACACACAGTATCTCATGAGTCATAGTTCTCCTTGTTTATGTTTCTTCGCGATTTAGGGAGTCATGTCCGGAGTCCCGATCGAAGTGCCTAGCGGCCCTGACCCGTGAAACAGTAGATCAATCCTTCGGGACAATCCAGCCTCCAACCTAACCTAGAAGCGATGGCCTCCAACCTACTAGCAATGGTCCCTGAGGTGTATGTGCCTGTGTGTCCTGTCACTTGGTGGTTCAACTTACTTACTTCTATTGGGTCAGCGTCGGAAGGGTCCTTCTGGTCATCATACATGCCTTTTGAAGTCTGAAGTGAAGCATTGGTAATTTACCTAAGGCACCGTTTTGGGCCTGTATTTATTGGGATCCTTTCCGTTTTGAAAAGGTATTCGTGCATCGTCCAGGCCTTGATCCTGGTTGAGTTTCACTGACGACTGAGGCGGCACGGTGACACCCACTGAATGCATTAAATGGACAAGTATGTGATGAGCATTGTATATATATATATATGTATTTGGCATGAAATTGCAGGTGTGTGTGTGTGTGTCACACTTTGTTTCTAAGAGTTTACACTTGTTGATTACCATCGCAGGGGCGTCAGGCTCGACACATCTACCTGACGCAACGAAGCTGAGGAAAGTGAGAGCTGATCACTCTCATGTACCTGCGGAGTGCTTCACAAGCTGTTACCCTCCTTTTCCACTTTTTGATTCATGGTTGTTCACATGATACCTCCCTTAAACCTTTCCTTTGTCGCGTTTCCTGCAGCTGAGTCGCGCTGACGCTCGCCACCGCAGACATGTCAACAGATTGTTCAAACAACACAAGTGCGCTGACCCTTTCACCTTGCGGTTCCATCACCATTTTCGACCTGGGAATTGAGTTAACTGAAAACCCAATGTCAAAGTGTGTCTCGCTCTGCCGTCCCACTTGGGTGCAGGGTGTGATCCCCGTCACTGGGGCACTGTTTTCACGCTGGAGTACCACTAACCGCTTTTCCTGCTTCCTGCACACGTTGGATTATCTCAACCGATTTTGTCTCACCACTGTATTCCCAAAATTCCACGCCGCCGGGCCTACGGAATTGCGACTGAACTTCCACGCCGCCGGGCTTACGGTCATATATATGTGTCGCACACACACTGAAGGAAATGGTACTCGACACTTGTGTGTCGGTGCCGTTCCTTCTGTTTCTCCTGTCCTAGTTCTAGCTACCCGAGCGGTTGAAGACTAATGTCCCGCTCGCTAACTCGTGCATTTAATTCATGCGGCTAAGTATTTAGTAACTAGCAGGTTTCGCACCTATTTTTCTCTCTTGCCCTTGCGTTTCCCTTTCTGTCTTTTCTTTTTCTTTCTTTCTAAGGCTATTTTAGGTGGTTATATAGTAATTTCCTCCGGAGCGCCGATATCGGCGCTCTGTGTGTGTGTCACACTCTGTTTCTAAGAGTTTAAACTTGCTGATTACCATCGCAGGGGCGTCAGGCTCGACACATCTACCTGGCGCAACGAAGCTATGATGTGTCGAGGGAAGTGAGAGCGGATCACTCTCATGTACCTGCGGAGTGCTTCACAAGCTGTTACCCTCCTTTTCCACTTTTTGATTCATGGTTGTTCACATGATACCTCCCTTAAACCTTTCCTTTGTCGCGTTTCCTGCAGCTGAGTCGCGCTGACGCTCGCCACCGCAGACATGTCAACAGATTGTTCAAACAACACAAGTGCGCTGACCCTGTCACCTGGCGGTTCCATCACCATTTTCGACCTGCAAATTGAGTTAACTGAAAACCCAATGTCAAAGAGTGTGTGGATTGGACTTGTTGTTGCATTCAGGCAATTGATTTGCATTCCTTGTGTGAGGCGTATGTGCATGTATTGTGTGTTTGATGAGTTTGCCCAGTGGTCCGGTGAGAACCTACTGGACCGCTAGACTCTATGTAGACCGGTTTGTAGCTGCAGCTGCGAATGGGAAAATATGAGAAGAGTGCAGTATTGGAGAGATCGTGGCTTCAGACTTCAGTCTTTCCATAATCCTGGTCGTGGAGATGCTAGGCCTTGGAACAACCATGTGAGAGGAAAAAGGATGCTTGTCACGCTTATTTGCAGCCTTTTCCGGCTTCAGTCGGGCAGTCACAATTGGGCTTCGCAGTCTCAGTCACTCCGCGTGGGACTCAAAGATGTCACGTGTGGAGGGCGGTTTCGTCTCCGGAGGGGCCTCAGGGACCCTGGTCCCTGGGATGCAAGTGACGGGCAGCGGCATGGTGGTCGGAAGTGGCGATATAGTGGCTGGTGGGGAGCCCAGAGCTTTATGAAGAATACGCGCCGGCTCCTTACATTCTCGTGTTCACCTTGTTCTATGCAGTATTCATAGTTTTTAGATGTTTTTAGCTTTGCTGGAAGAACTGCGGTGCCGAAAGATGGTCTTGAGGTGCTGGTGCTGGCGCAGGTGTTGCATATCGTGGTGATGCTGGAGCTGTCACTTAGCTGCAACAAACTGCAACTCAGTTCAGACGTGGTGATTTTGTTTGTCAAATGATGATAACTATGACTCGACGTTGGTTTTTGCCCTTGCGAATTAGCTGAGCACCATATTTTGAGAATGCATGCGTTGCAGACGAACTTATTCACTGCCTTTTCCTTATATGTTGGGTTTGTCCTAATATATACCTTATATAATCACTGTTTTTGAACAAGGCCTTTACTAACCATCATCATCCACTGTTACAGGTATTAGGATAGATCCATGACCCATTTACTTTATTATCAGGAAGGCCCCGATAGGCATGGTTGAGCTCTCGATGGGCGAACGGAGTGAGTGATAGGGTATGTGTGGGGGGTGACGGGTAGGGTGAATGCAGAGCTTGGTGGGGGAGAGCTGAAAAAAGAGGCGGCAGAAGGTAATGAAAATATATGTTTTTAGTAGGGGTCTCGGTGATGCGAGTCATGCCAATGACGCTGAGTAGTGCATCACCAGCATCACAAAGTGCTCAGGAGACTATTAAAGTGGTCTACTGAGGTGAGCTGACCAGGTGTGTGAGTCCAGGTAGGGGACAGGAGACTGGACGATCACTGCATTGTTCTCAGAATGATAGGAAAGGAAAGTAGAGCTTGACTTTCATTGCTTTAGTGGTGCCTGACCGAGCTTTATTTTAAGCAGACTGATGCAACATGATGCAACAGTCTTTGTTTTCCCGTTGCTAAAAACGTCAGAAATATTTGCTGCCCAAATATATTGTGGACTACAGGGGCTGGATTTCGTCCCCTCCCTTTTCAAGTTTAGTGATTAACTATATATATATATACGTATGCCCACCATGCTGGCTTTGTAATTAGCCGGAAGCAGGAACACTGTTTGCACAGCCCCAAACAGCTACTCGCCAAAACATGTTCTTTGGAGTCTCCAATGTGTTCTGCATGAGGCGGGCAACTGTCACGCCGATTGTTTGGACGCGGGCCCGGGCACAATGTGCTTCGAACCAGATCCTTACTCTGTGACAAAGCAAGCGCAGTGGAAGTATGTTGGAGCCGGGGAAGGATCTTATGACTCGGTGGCTCGCTGAAAGTTGCATCATGTGCATGACGGTCAACATCTCTAAAGTCAGAGGCTGCACCGAATGAGGGTAAACATACCATGTGAGCATGACGAGAAAAATTGTATTTGCAAGGGTCGATGTGTGTGTCACTGCTCCATTATTGCCAATTGAGCGACTTGACTTGATTCGCCTGAATCACATCCTTGTGAGGTGCAACAAGTGACCTATGTAGGCCAGGGCGCCGGCAGTTGGGAGCGGCAAGAAGTGGTTTCCCACACTGGATATCGCTGGAGGGCCGCTCGACAACTGTTGATCATATCATATCATATCCGTAATTCAAGGACTTGGACTGGTTTGACTCGTTGGACTTTGGTTTTCGACCATCCAAGTCTTTCAACTTGTGTAGACAAGACGAGAAGGCGGAAGGATGCAGAAGGGCAGGCCAACTTTGTTCATTCTTGGTGTTGGCCCTGAGCGATTGATTTGAGCAGTATATCATTGCCGCTCCTGTTCCTGCTCTTGGTGACTAAGCCCTTGTGCATCACGCTGATCACTTGCGTGCTGCTGGTGGCCGCTTGCATCTTGGATGCCACGGGAGTCCAAATACGTTTCCCTAAAAATCTAGGAACCAAATCACTAGTGCGGGCGCTTCTTCAAAAGAAGCGTGAACTATCCTGCGTCCTACCTAGAAGCCAACTTAGCCTAGTAGTTTACTCCCTTACTCAACTGAGTATGCGCATACTTAATCGAGTAGCAGCCGGCTAAATTAAAAGGAAAAACGACACAACATGTGCCTATATATATTACTATATATATACAATATATATATATATATCCTTGGATCAGTTGAAGCCGAGAGATCCAAATATAAAGCTCATGGCGCACACGTGGTATGTCGCAAGCCCCGAAGTTTTTGAATCGCTTTGTACAACTGTTGATGTTTGCTGTTGACGTGTGTTTCTAACCGACATGCTTATAATGAGCTGCGCCCGCTCTAGCGCTTCACTCTCAATCCAGTGTGGCACGAACCTTTGTTGTGTACTGTCGATTGCTTTTGTCCTTGCAGATGTTAACTGACTGTCAACGCTCAGGCATCATTGTGATTCCTTTACTCATGCCAGCTCAACGCGATACCGGCTTTGACATTCCAGCGGCACAAGATTGCTCCCTGGGTGCTCACGATTGGAAGCTTGCTTGTGAGACACACACCTGTTGGGTGTGTGATTTTCTCGCACCACGGGAGTTTGGCCGTGCGCCATCGTTGGCCAGTTGTGAGTTCTCTCAGGAAGAACTTGTGGGATGAGACGAAGCAGAACTACTGCTGCCAGCTACTTGGCTGAGGGGGATCGACATGAAAGCCCCATGATGAGATGTATCGATGACTCTGACAAACATTTTAATTTTTATATAATGCAGAACTAAGAATCAGTGGGTTGGTCCAAGAGGCAGGCCGCCCGATATGAACATATATATATATTATATAGAGAATATATAGCACAATATTAAAGTAATTAAAGGAATATGTGTGAAATATAACAGTCAGATATGTGTGCAGGTATAAATGTCAAGTGGTTAAGTGTTTCGAATGGTTCCAGCCCAAGCTTTGTGGTGATATACAGTGGGTCTCGAAGGAACCAAAACAACAACGAAACACTAGTAACTTTCAGACGGACATGGCCCAGAGTTTGAGTCATTGTTTATTTATGTTGCCACTAGTTGCAGTGCTGAAGAAAAAAGAAGGGACATGCTGCCTCATTGAAACCATGGAGAAAAGCGCGCAGCTCCAACATGTTAACCGTACCATTTATCAGGGAAATTGAACAAGGAACAAGAACGCTACTTGGAGCAAAGGGCATCGCTACTAGGAGCAAGGACGCTACTTACTAGGAACAGGAAGCTACTAGGTAAAGACTCTGAGGAAGTCAAAAGTGTTTCTTTCACAATATGGACCACCTCAAGACCGACAAGGTCAGCAAGAAACACTAGTCGTTATACAAAATTGTAAGGATTGCTCCTCATCCAGGTTCATGGTAGTTCTTGTTACCAGGCGGCACGAAAAAGGAATCCTTTCCCCAAACAACCTGACATACTGCAAATCCCCACAGAACATGTGTCAGTCATGCCTGAAGCCAACAAATTATATAAGATTTAAGATGATCATGTCGTGCATTTTTTTGTATTTGGGACTGCTGGCAGTGGGCATTTTCCTCTATATAGGTTGCTGCAAGCACATGGCTTGCCCGAAGCAGGACCAAAATCCCAAAAGATGATTCCTCATTCCGTCCATGTGGAGAGTGCCACACGTTTTCATCGTAAGCACCAATACGCCCATTGATGATGATGATGATGAGGATGAGTTATACAGTGGCATTTGAGAAAATTTGAGAGCAGTATCCTCCGATCTTGTTTCATTTAGTACACAACGTTAAGTTAATTGTCATTGTTTTTCTCGCGGCACCTCTCAGGACCCAAAGCGTTGGTTGTCCTTCCGCCGTGGCTACGCCCGTGAAAATTGTCCACTTTACTCACTATGTGACGCGAGTCCACCGGGTGCCACACCCAGTGGCAGACTATGTTGAGGTTCCTGTGCCACACGTGCCTGGGGCTGCATCTTCAGACAACATTGCATACATTTGTATAGCTCCTTTTCATGTCCACAGCATCGACCTCAAGACAGCCTTGAACTCGGTCAACTTCAACAGGTTTCAACTGGCCCTTTCACATGCTTCTACAACAAGGGGAGCTTATCATACCTTGTACGAGCGATGTTTTTGCACATAATATATGCATACAACATTATAATACATTATATAGTGAGTTGGCAGCAGTTAGAATTCACTAAAAGTAATTAGTTGCAGATAGAATTTGGAAACCAACTAGAAAACTAATTACCCGAGACCTATGCAGTTAGAATGTAGGCCTCGCAGTTAGAATATGGAAAACATGCACTTAGAATATGGAAATATAAACTATATAGGTATAGATACATATATGTATATATATATGGTTATATGTATGATATATATATATATATGTATAATGTATATATATACACACACTTTGGCAGCCAACCTTGCTGGCACACCAATCACTTGCCAACGGTCTTTTTCCCATCTCGCCCATTGCAATCCATATTCTTGCCATGTAAACTTAAATTCGTGTGTTGACCTTGCATTGTCAAACAGCACTGGATTTGCAAGTGATCTTCTCTCTTCACTTCTTGTGAGCTGGCTCCGCCGCCAATGCTTCCCTCACTCGCTGCAACTGTCCCTTTGCAAGGCGGTCCTTTGGCTGTTGGTTCAGATGGTCCACCAGCATCAACTCGACAACTTGAAGTAATGCTTGCCTGGGTGTTCTGCCAGAGCTGCCACCAAAGCTCCGTCCGTGGTGAGATCCTCCGGCTGCACTGGCCCTCCAAACTCTGGCAGCCAAGTGAATCCCTATTGAGCAGCCTGGCGGCCGCTCTACCAAGCATTGCTTGTCTAACTCCTGGTACTCACTGCGTTGCTCGCAAATCCTAGTGCGCGTGACCTTGGAACACTTCGGCTGGTCATCTTCATCACTATCAGACTCGTGCACAAAGAGCCAGCCGGAATGAACATGTGGATCCAGGCCTTCATCCGACACGTCATCGGCCGGTCCACCCATCTCCATATCATCCGCAATCTTGTCCTCGCCATCCACATCAGCTCCATCGTCATCATGGTTTGCAACCACGGGTTCATCGTCCGCTGGTAGATCACCTGGCTATACAACAAATTATATTTAAATTTGATCATTTCAATGCAGATAGAATATGAATGCAACTACCTCAACACAGGTGAACTGGTTTAGATGACATGTGGCTTTAATGAACACGTAAGTACAAAACCATCTATATACCTATATATATATATATGGCACACTTGTCGGTACACATGTTTTTCCCAACAGCTGCCTGTGAAATGATCAACTTCCTCTGGAACATCCAAGTCCTGCAAAGTGTTCTCGCCTCGCATGAGCTTTAGGAGCCACCTTTTGCCATCACCAGCCTGAATCCAAAGATCATTTGCATCTATGGAAGGGTGCACCTTCAGCATGAGACATGTTCTCCGCAAGGTTGCAGCACTCTTCATTCCTGGATTCTTGACCACTGCCTGCTTCTTTTTGTCTAGAATCAGCACTTTAGTTGTTGCTTCAAGCCACTTTTCATATGCAAGCTTGCTCTTGGGAGGCAATTCACTTTTTCCTTGTTGGTGCCTTTTATCCTTGCGATCCTCCCAAACCTCGTATTCACGTTTCCAAGACAGTACGATAGTGTCTATAGGCAATTTGAACCATTGAGGCAAAGGAATTGCCACTGGGTCCACAACATCGGGATCTGAAATGGACCAAAAGGTGACTGATTCACCTTCCAACACTTTGGACTCAGCAATCACAATGGCCTTGGCAGAATCTTCATTTGGTTCATCTGGAAGTTCAGGTAGATCATCCAAACTGTAAAGTTTGCTCATTCCATATTTGAGTCGTCCCATCGCTTCCGTTGCCTTCTCCATGTTTCCATCAAAGTGCCATGAAGCAATCTCTTGCATCGTTGCCAGGCCTCGTGAAACCCAGCTCCACATGATCAATTTGCCGCTCTCATAGTTTCTCAATTGGTGAAGAGCCCATGCATCACATTCAAGACTTCCTTCCTGCGAGAGCCTGAGTAAGTGCACTTAGAATATCTAGACATGCAAGCATTGTCCACATGCCTTACTATATACTATATAGCGGATATAAACTGCAGAACAGCACCATCATTATTGAGTTTACGCTTCAAGACTCCAACATACCCCGGGCCAACATACAGCTATATATAAGGCAAGCGTAGAGTTGAAATGATCAACACTGGCAACTCAGCTTCTTACTCAAACCGATAGTTTCCGTCCACTGCAATAGACAATTCCTGCAACGCCGTCCTCAGCCTAGGGTTGTCCCCCATTCCCACCCGCATGCGCATTGCTGCTCTTCTCAGGCCATGATAAAACTGATGAAAGCCATCGTTCGGGCCTCCACAGGCCCCCCATCCTGCTGGCACTGCCACATATTCATGACTGGAGCCATGGATCAAGATGCAATTGTGATCTTGCTGAAACTGTTGTCTGATCTGCTCAAAGGTTAGGCTTCCATGCTGTGGTGCCTTGTCCATGAGAATGAGAGCCCGAGACGATGCTGTCAATCCGTGTTTGGCTCTCTTTCGACGTAGCTCCACGCTCAGGAACTCCAAATACGCTCCAAGGGTCTCAGCAGTCCACATATGGCTAGGTCCGGTGTGGCGTGTAGATATCTGGAGAACATCTTGCAATTTGCGGTTCATGGCATTCACCGTCTTGTCAGACCTTATATACATATATTCAATGGTTCATGGTTGTGTTTCATATTCTATCTGCATCACACACCTTTGAGTTTAAAGACTGAACACATGCTTCTATGTGTATATATATATAACTAATCACATCTAATCACATAAACACATTTATATGTGTATATATATATATATTATATATAAATAACAAACTGAGGGTTTCACATTGACCCTGGCTGAATAGTGATCCAAGCCCTTCCAAGTTCACCATCTCGCCAAGATAGGGTGGTGCATGTTCGTGCGCACCGAGCATAGTCCACTGGATTCATATTCCCACTCGCATTAAGTTGCACTGGTGTGCACACAGTCTTGGTCTGGTCTTCTCCCATGTCAATGCCCAAAGACTTGCGAATCTGACATAGAATTGTCTGTAAAGATCTCTTTCTTGCCATTGGGTCCTGAAGAACACCACGTTGGCTGTCATGCTTGTGTACAACTCGTCGGGGTGGCTCATAGTGGACACTCCATACTTGGTCAAAGTTTGCTATAAGCCGTGGTTCTATTTGATGCATCTCTGCACACGTTGCCACAAAGTCTCTAACCATGGCCATGGACGGGTGGTCATAGTCTAGATGCTTGGATTGCTTGCTGACTGAGGATAGTCGAAGCCCAACGCGGTTGCACAACTTGGTGACTGTATACCTGAAGTGCATATATATACAAATGCAATAATTGATTTGAATGATATGCATGATCTGTTCTCAGCTGCTTGAGTGAGTCTATATTCTATCTGCATTTAAATCAATATTTTTACATAACACTTTATATATATATATCTGTGCATGTTGAAAACCCTTATGTACACCCTTATGCATGTTGATAACCCATACAGCACTGCAACATGTGCTAATCCTATGCTAGATCTATTGGGGAAACATGAAAAGAAAACTATGTATATATATATACATACCAAACAGTGCCAAGATTCGTAACGGCGCTTGGATGCTTGCTGGCATTGCAAGGCTGCAAGATCTTTAGCGGAGTTTGCAGTGGAGTTTCAGTGGCACCGTCGATGTCGCCATTGGCATTCTGGCCAGTGGCCTGCTGCTCCATAGTCTCCACGATGTCTTTGCGAAAGTCACCAATGCACTCATTCCACAAAGAAATCATATCCAGCAATACTTTCTTAACGCAGCTCAAGGTAACCTCCTGGCCAGTAGATAACATCTCCAAAACAAGACCTTCAAGAGCAATTGCCAAAGCATCTGGCACACCGTGAATCCCATCTTCTCGGCTGAATTTGCTTCCTTCATGCTTGCGCACAGAGATGCCTAGTGCTGAGCGGAGATGGTTTGGGACCTCAGCGTGCTTCTTGCACAGTTCTGGCGCCACCCGGATCAGTAAATCCCACTGCTGCTCTTCCCTCTTTTTCTGCCATTTGCTGAAGCATCCTTGGTAGAAGCCAGCTCGCCTGGAAGTCTTGAGCATGTGCTTTTCAGCGTGTGGTATGGCTGGGTCGGCCTTGAACTTCTCAAATTCCTGCATTGCCGGGCTGGTTGGCTTGAGGACAATTGAGTGAGTGGCTATACAGTGTCTAAAAATATATATATATAAATTCTAACTGTGAGTTCTAATTGCTGCCAACTCACTATATATATATATATATAGTGTTTTTGCACTATTATAAATGCAAAAAAAAGCTCTATGCAAAGCTAACAAAACACAAAGTGCTTATTTATAACTATATATATACAAAATCAACTGATTGCTGCCAAAGTACTTTAAATAGTTCCATTTTTGCCCAAATACTCATCACGCTTTTCTTGCCCTCTCTCGCAATCTTGGCCTTCGGAACATATGATCTTTTCTTTTTAGGTGCAGAGTCACCCTGCTTTGGCTCTGTGTTTTTCCTCTTGGCATTTCTTTGGCGCAATGTTTCAATCTGTGCTTTGTGGTCATCTACTGGCACGACCTGTTGGTCTCTCAAAGCTGCTGTAGGCTCTGTGACATCTGCAACTGCAATAGCCTTGGTTTTGCCAACAGCCCTTCGCTTGACTGGAAGCTGACTCCAATGTAGTTGGGCATGCGGGGCTTGATCATGATTGTCAAACTTGCGCTTCACTCCATCAGAACGTATGTCATCCGCAGCTGATTTGAGCTTGGCACCAGAGTGTGCATGGCGATCATCGGTGCCGTCACTGTCACAATCAGAAACCAAATCATTTGCTGCATTTGCGTGTGGCAAGGAATCAGACAATTCCAAGCTTTC